CGCATTTCTCCTTCTTGGTCATGTAGGACATGTCCATTTGTAGGTACCGCTGCAGCTCATTTGGTCCATGTCTGTACGAACTGGAGTTGCTATTTCCACCACCATCGCTACTAAGTTCCATATACGTCCACATGCTTGATCCTTGTTGATAAATGTCTTCATCAGGGTCCTACTGGTCGTCTCAACTAGGTGTTCCACTATGGCCAGTCTAATATAAGGAAAAAAAGGTTTTCCAATTTTTTGTTAAAGTCTATCAAATAAGAACTATAGTCATGCCCTAAATGTTGGCCTATCTTAGTAACCATACAATTAAATACATTTAATTTAAACCTAAGATCTACAATAAGACCTATTTTCAGTATTTTGTTTCCATGTCTGAAACAATATGCATTAAGTCAGGATTATATCTATGTTTAGCAAAAGTTTTAGAAATTTGAATACTTCTAATGCTAAATTAGTAGTAGGATAATAAATACCACTTAATGTATTAGTGGAATCATAAAAAAAACTTTAAGAAATGAATGAAATATATTGAAAACCATCCATTCATCATTGTTGACGACTTCGTCCGGATAGCTCATCCGGTTGATGAACCTTGTAATTTCTGTTACGGTTGGCATAGCTCTTTGCAACATCAAGTACGTGGAGTTCTAGTGGACATGTATGTCGTAACATAATTTCTTTGGTCGAACCGGCAACTCCTTTGGTGACAATATTTTACGTATTCATTCAATCTTGTATTGCTACCAGCGATGAATTTAATAGTTGTGCACACCCTTTCAATCCTCGCATGTATGGCTTCTAAATCTATTTTAACAATCAAATGACGATGTGGCAAGCACATCTCTGGTGAAAAAATTTGCCTTTATGAAGCGGATCCAATCTCTTTTCAAATAAAGAAATTACCACGGTGTTAGCTGCTGCATAATCAAGCGTTAGTGCCACAACTCTCTCAGTTAATAAATAATCTTGAAAAACTTCAATAATTGTAAAATAAATAGTCTCAGCACTATGTTTAGCATACAATGATTTAAAACCTATCAATTTTTGTTGTAAACGCCAACTATGACCTAGGTAATGTATTGTGATGCTCAAAAAATCTATTTTTGATCTAGCAACCCAAATGTCTGAAGTAAGTGCAATAGATATATTCCTAAAATTTTCAAATTCTTTTTTAAGTTGATCTCTTATTTTACTATAAAGTTTTTGTGTGTCCCTTCCACTTGTACCTCTAATAACGAGGCTATATTGTGGACAAAAGGCAGTTTTAATCATATTAACAAAAAAATGATTTTTAGATAAAGAAAGGGGAGACTCTGTAGCAACTATGTGTCTTACTATTTCCTCTCGTGCATGGAGTGCATTGTATTGCCAGGTTGAGAGAGTTGAGGATTGTAAATTAAAATTAAGTTGATTTTGAATTTGCTTACCAGGTCTAGTTGAAGTTGAATCAGACTACATATATTGGGGGTACTTTTTCTTCAAGTGTCGCCACATCGTTGAAGTCTCGTGCTTAGCGTCGATAATGGTTGGATAAAAATTACATACCCGACATGTCTCTTCCCCCTACCCATTTGGCTTTGCCCATTTTGATTTGGTGAAGAATTGTCATACCCTAGACATGGCCCTCTTCGACGGTCTTCTCATGGTGTCACAGCTCGCTTGTGTTTGGTTGGACGCAGTCCGGCCGTTTCTGGTTGTGGAATTGTTGCATTTGGAAATGGTGAAAATGGATCAAACCCTTCCATTTCTGGATGGAGAAACTAGAAAATACTCATTAGATCCTCTGAATGCATAGTTTGGGGAATCCATTATGAATTTATGATAAAATAATAAATAACTAAAATTGAAGAAATTGAATAATATGAATAATAGATGAAATTGAAAAATGGAAGAAATTGAATGATATAAATAATAATATGAATAATAGATGAATAAATATAAATATAAATTGAAGAAAGTTTGGGAATTGGAATAGAGAGAATGAGAGATTGAGAGTTGTGAGGAAAATGGGTGGTTTAAAGGGTTATTTATAGTTTAGGTTTGGGGGGGAAGTGAAAGAAAATAAACCTTCCCCCCCCCCCCATTACTCGGTTGTGTTTGGTTGGATGCAGTCCGGCCGTTTCTGGTTATGGAATTGTTGCGTCTGAAATGATCAAACCTTTCCATTTTTGGATGGAGAAACTGGAAAATACTCATTAGATCCTCTGAATACATAATTTGGGGAATCCATTATGAATTTATGATAATGGAAAGGTGTTTGGTTGGATGCAGTCCGGCCGTTTCTGGTTATGGAATTGTTGCGTCTGAAAATGGATCAAACCTTTCCATTTTTGGATGGAGAAACTGGAAAATACTCATTAGATCCTCTGAATACATAATTTGGGGAATCCATTATGAATTTATGATAAAATAATAAATAACTAAAATTGAAGAAATTGAATAATATGAATAATAGATGAAATTGAAAAATGTAAGAAATTGAATAATATAAATAATAATAGATAAATATATATAAATATAAATTGAAGAGAGTTTGAGAATTGGAGTAGAGAGAATGAGAGATTGAGGGTTGTGAGGAAAATGGGTGGTTTAAGGGGTTATTTATAGTTTAGGTTTGGAGGAGAAGTGAAAGAAAATAAATTCTTATTCTTTTTTGTAAAAAAAATTTTCACCCTTATATTTATTGTTAATTCTATAAAAAAAGAGGGTTATGGATATTTGCCAATAGTTTAAATGAAAATAGGGAGGGGGGTTTGGGCCCAGGCTTGGGACTGAGTCTAAGGAGGGACCAACCCTAGGACCAATCCCTCCTCCTTGGACATGGTCCAGATTTTGGCTCGGGCCTTATTGGATCAGTCCTTGGGAGGACCGGTTCTAGGTTCAGTATTTTGGGCCCGAGCCAAAATTCCCATCTCTAGTTTCATTTTATATTTGGCAAAAAAAATTTAGCCTTAGGATTTTGAAACCAAAGGGATGAGTTGTGCTAGTAACGTTACTAAGCCAATAGGGAAGATGAATCGAAGAAATGACGGAGAGAGTCTAGATTGTACCTATGTAGACGTTGCAGCGAGAGTTCTCGGACATTGCTGGAGTTGGAGAAGAAAGGATGACGGATTGGGAGTTGTTAGATTAAAGTGGAGAGGAAGAGATGAGGAGAGGGGGTCAATTAATCAATGATTTGTCTGGAGATTTTTTCTTTTTTTTTTTTCCCCCGCTTTATTTGTGTTGTGGTGGCTATCGTATTTATATAGAGGAGAGAGTGAACTGAGGAGTGACATGTGGCATCAAATGGATGTTGCGTTTTAAGTGAGGGTAAGATGTTCTTTTCGAAATCTGTTGATTGCTTACTGAGGATTTTTTTTTTTTTTTGAATTTTTTGAATAAATTTCATTAAAATAGGTCTTATATAAATAAAGCTGTATAAAAAAAATTATTGATTAATTTGATGGATAAATAAAAAGAAATTTTAATTTTAACTTATTTTTAAAACGTGAACATGATATAGGAATATTTTGATATTTTAAAATTTAATAGATATATATATATATATTAAGGGTAAAAGTGAAAAAAAAATTCAATTTCTAATTGAATCTATCTTCTCTTAGATTTTTGGATAATAATACTTATATAATTTATACTTAACTCTTCTCCCTTTTTTCACACCACCTCTAAACAAATTAAAATCTGTTTTATATATAAGTTATCATTCAATATTTTCAAGCACAAAGACAACATTCTAACACTTTCGTGTGTTTAAATTTTTAAGCTTCTTTTTTTTTTTTTTTTTTTTCCTTTTTTTTAAAATATACATATAGTGTTTTATTAGTTCGTGTGTCTTAGTTAATTTAACCGTTAATTTGTTTTTTCCAAAAAAAAAATTATGATGAGTTAAAAGAAATAAAAAAATCGATTTTGGGTCTAATCTAAAAAAAATAATAAAACTCATGCACTGTTGAAAGGAGCTCCTGACTTATGCACCTCACAATGAACACCACCTTAGTAAAAACTTTAACATAATGACCTCATACAAGGGTCAAAGCAACTATCTATTTAAAAGATCATTTGCACAAAATTGAATTTTTTGCTTATTTGTATGCAACTCTAAAGATGTAACTTGTTCACTTTGTACAGCATAAATATCTACAATCATTTCAAGCTCGAATTCCATGGACAATAGAAGCCTTAGTAACTCACTGATATGCCATCAAATTATAATGATACTGTTAAAAGGGTAATACTGCTGTACAAGTAAGAAGAGCCAGGATAAGTTCATCCGACAAAATTTCCCAGACTTCTCTGTTGTTTGAACTCGACGCCAAAAAAACACTCAAAAACATATCTACAAATAGCCTCAGTAGAGCAAAGAACCCAAAAATATGCATATAACAAATACATGATGCCCTTTTTTCGCAAAGATACTTGTTCTCCATAACTTGTTCAACCTTCAACCTGCAAAGTAATAGCGATAATCAGCAACTACGTCTTAAAGCCACACACCAAGATAAATAGCTAAGGTTGAAAAGTTATAATTATGCATTCATTCTAAACTACTACCAATGGAATAAATAGGCGTTTCTGTGTATTTCCCAAGATATCTAAAGAACCTTCATCTTTTAACAGTAGATTTTGAATACTATGATACAGTGCAAATCACACATTTTATTGAATACTACATTTACACTTTTCACTAGATTTCCAAGTTTAGAATCTTCACCTTAGAAATCTATTTATTGCTTACAAGAAACTTTCATCACACGATTAAAATACTTCTCAATTGAGTAAAAAAGCAAAAAAAAATAAAGGAAGGAATATATTAGAAGTCCATGTATCATATATCCCATCACACTCCAGTCGTCCAAAGATATGCCTAAAATTTATATTGAACTCTAGTAAACTACAGAAATTTTTGTTATTTCTAAAGTGCACAGCATGCTATTATATTATTAAGACATTCAGGGAAAATGTCGTAAAGGCATGAAAGGAACCTGAGAACGACATGTCTCTAAGTAAAGTTTACAATTGCATGGAAACAAGGTATTTCCAAGAACTAAGATCATCAATATGTTTAGCCTGCAAAGGGCAAGAAAATAAAATAAGGAAATATAAGCACTGAGAGAGGAAAGAAATTCACATACAATGGCCTCTTGGCTTTCAAAAAGATTCCTTATGTCTGATCTGATCTTCTCCAAAAGTCTGTCTGTCCCTCCTATATCTTCGTCATACTCTTTAAATATATCACTATATCTTAAATTTAATTCTTCCAGGTATCGTTCCAAAACAGATAAATTTAAGTCCAGCGAACGTACTTTCTGCATCAGTATTTTAAGAACAGTATCTGCAGGCAACCTGCCAACTTGATGGTGAATTTCTTCAACTGGATCAGGCACAGTATTTTTCTTTATTTCACGCTTCACATCTAAGTTTTCTCCCGAAGAGTCAGATTCCAGTTCTTTGTATAGATTTTGATAGAGATCATCACTCTGCAAGGACTCTTGTGGAGAGGATGGCGGTTTACGGTGAGCAGTCCCTTCATCAGGTACAAACACATCATCTTGAACAGAGATCAAATCCTCCAGTGTTCGTTCAATAGCATCCACTCCATAAACTTCAATAACACTCAATGTACAGTAAAATTCTGAGCCATAATGGCTCAGAAGGTTCAATTTCAGATATCTAACCCATTTTGGCTCTTCAAGAGGAAATCTCCGCGCAAGCTTCACATTTGCAGCAGTAAAATTCCCTTTGCCAAGATTGATCCATGTATGAGTCGGATAAACTAAACTGCCAAGAAGCTCGAATTCTTTCAAATTAGAAGAGTGGTGCTCAAAATTGGCTATTTCAAATGATTCCACTAACGTTTCTTCTGAAAGTTCTATAACAACAAACTTCTCTTCTGCAGAACATGGGTTCCTAAGATACTTATCCTTATCTCTGCTTAGGATATTTGCAGCTCCTTTTGCTTCCTTGTTATAAGCCAAGACCTTCGCTCCTTTTGAAGCTGAAGCATAATTGTACTCAGTACCCCCAGGCTCCAGTCTATGTTTTACTCCTCCATGATGACCAGTTCCAGATTTACTTTTAGAGCTAAATGCTCTGCTCTTGAATTCATCAAGACCAACTGGAACAGCCCAAGAAATTCAATCAGTCTTTGTAAAACTGTCCCCAGATTTCAGAGCCAAATTGGACATATCCACCTCAGGTTGCATAACAGCAGACACAGAATTTGTGTCCCCTTCAGCAGCATGAAACTGGTATCTGGGTTTTTCGGTCTTGGCAACACTTGGGCATGACCCCTCTTTGGAATGATTAGAACCAATTTCTTGTGATGGATGTTTATCCACAATACCAGAATGTTTATTGTGTTCTATTTTAGGTTCATGCCAAGTTGATATTCCACCTGCAAGTCCTGCAGATCCATCTAAATCCAACAACACAAAAAGTAGACCGTAAGAAGAAGGCTATGCCTTTAAAATTAAATACAATCAGACAACTAAACACCTAAGCTCAATTGTTTCCATGACAATGAATCACCACCATCGATGTTTTACAATGTAAAACATTTTTGTGTAACAAAATGCTTTACATGTAAATGACAATTATCTTCACAGTTTCCCCATGTTTGGTTGCAGACTAAACCTCTTCCAATTAAGCATTTGAAAAAAAAAAAAAAAAATTCAAGTGTTAATTAATGCTCCCCTTTCCCATATCTAATCAATGTTCACTGCCTCCCATAAAGAAAATGTAATTACTATATCAATTCATTCCTTAACTTTCCATGTTTCAAAGATTTATAATATGATAACGATAACCTTCATTTCATGTATTTTATTCATATTGAATTTGGTTTTATGGGAAGCTATCAAATTTACAATGATGCATCACAAATACATATGAAGCTAAAGCAGAGAGGCATAATGCACCAATCACTTCAATGGTATACACACAACACATACATATCAAAACTTAAAAGCCAAACAGCTCTTTGCATGAACTACAAAACAGTAATCCAAACAAAAACACTTGATCAGCATATTAATTTCACAGCAAAGGAGATTTCCCCAAATAAATTCATATTTAATTTCTTTCGATCAAAAGCTATCCAATCTTTGACAATGCACGTCCTATACATATGAAGCTAAAAAAAGGCAGGCATAATGCATCAAACACTCAACTACATAAGCAATTATTCATTCAAACAAGAAAGCACAAATCAAATACAAAATTCATCACTCAAAGCTTAAAATACACAAAAATTGATCACACTATTACCTCTATAACCATCACCACGACTGATCCACAAGCTCAAAAGCAAGACAAGTCCCCACAAAACAAAAACCAACGACAAAGAAACCTGGTAAACCCGATTCCATTTCTTTCCACTGCTCGCCTTTTTCCCCAGCTCTCCTATCAAGAAGAGCTCTACTGATCTCTGCATTGCACATCAATCATCACTGCCACACCAAAACACCAAACTTAAAAATTAATTACCAAGATTGATAAAGGGTGTTTTTGCAAAATTCTAAAAGTGTGTTCTTCAAGAGACCTCTAGATGATCGCAGCTTGCATAAACACACAATTTAAACAAAGATGATAAAGGGTGTTTTTGCAAATTTTAAAAAGTGTGCTCTGCAAAGAGCTTAAGATGATCTCTGCATTGCACATCAACTTATTCACTGCCAAACCCAATACAAAAATCTTTAAAACTAAACAACAAATATCGATAAGGAGTTTTTTGCAAAATTCTAAAAGTGTGTTCTTCAATAAAGAATAATCACCTTAACAGCAAAGCAATGTCTACTTTTTTTTCCTTCTCGTTTGATGCTGAGATGACTCAACTAAACGCAAATCCAAAACGACCCATTCGGGATTCAACAATTTTCATCAATAAATCAAGGATTGGATCCATTACTGAATTAATATTAAAAAAGAAAACAGTATAAAAAAAAAATAAAAATCACCGAAAACTGGAATAAGTTGTAGCGTTTGAGTGTGTTTCTTTTTACGTTAATGAACGCGAGATAGCATAAAACGGCCTAGTTTAAGGCGGTATCCGGTTCTTGTCCCGTGCTTTATGGGTTTCTTCGGCGATTTAAAATTCATTCTCTCTCTATGCTCTCTCTCTCTTTCTGTAATTCACCGTTTTGTTTTGTTTTTGTTTGTTTTATGGTTCAACTTCCGTGCCGTTGGTGTTTGAAATAAGTGTTCGAGCTATTTGAAGTAGAAAGTGAAATTGATGAAAGGAAATTGAGTGTTTATGGGTTGAAAGCAAATCACATCAAAGGGTGTTTTTTTTTTAGGAACTTTCATGAATTGAGAGGTTCAGATCTAGAGATTCTTTAATTTGAAAAAATATTAAATATAAATTCTTGTATACGAATTTATGTGAGGGGGGTCAGCATCCAGCAATGGCGAAGGTCTGAAAAAAGGATCACCTCAAAACGTAACCGTAGGATGACAAAGGTCTGAAAGTCAAGTCACCGAAGCCTAATATAGTAGTAATCATACAAAAGTGATCTTAAATAAGTGACGAGTAAAAAAAAAAAAAAAAAAAAAGGAATTTATAAAGTTTTAATCATAATTTTATAAGATGAATAAAAAATAAAATTTAAAATGAAATACTTTTGGTGGGTTTTGAGATGATGAAGAAGTATTGAGTTTGAAAGCAAATCGTATGGGATTTGGTATAAACATTACGATGAGTGAAAATTTAAGTAAAATTAATAAATAAAATAATAAAAGGAAGTGCCCAAAATGCAAAATTTTGTATTATAGTTTTTAATAATGTTTTTCATTAATTTTTTACTAAATAACAAACTGATATTAATGCTTTCCATAATTATCTAGAAAATGAGTGTAATGCTAATACTACAAGTAAATATGATAAATATAAATAAACTTTTTTATGTCAAATTAGGTCAAGATAGAATTGTAATTTCAATAAATACCATTTAAAGAAGTAGAATTAAAGAATGCAATAAAAAGAAGAAAAAAAATTGGATATGGTTTTAATTAAATATGTAGATTTTATCACTCTCCTCATATAAGCCAAGTTATTAAATAAATCAAACCAAGATACAATTGTGAAAATAGGTTTCTTTTTATTTAAATTAAAATTATTTCCAAAATAATAATTCATTTTAATGTCATTATAACATCATAACTCTTGCTTAATATTTTAATTACATTATTTATTAATTCTTTTATTTACTAATAAAAAAATCCCCCGGTGGTTGATGATTTGTATTGACATATTATTTACTAACTCTTATATAACTTATTAATTAATGTCATTGACATATATATAAATTATGGTTGTGCTAATGTGTATCCGAAGTAACATGTTAATGACATTAAAATCCAAGAATTCAAATCAATCTTTAAACTAAATATTTCTTAAAATTAACATCTGTGATTCATACGTATTTTAAATATCGATACATATTAATAAGTATTGAAATGAGTTTTATGTGTGTTATAACTTCTTCTTTTTCTTTTTATTATTATTTTTAACTATGTATTTGAATTATGACATTTGTTATTTTCTCTTTTATCATGCAACCCATTTTTTTTTTTTTAAATTTCACAATAAAATGAAGCACGTAGGCATAAGAGGAATTTGAAAAAATTCTATTATTTTAAATAAGAGCAAAGTTATTTATACAAACTACTAGTTCAAATAATTATGTAAAATTAACGTGACAATCCATGTATGTTTGACATTATAATCTCCTGTTAATTTATCTTGAATCTAAATTTATCAATTATATGAAAATATGTCAATTGGTATAAAAATATTTTACATGAAGAACAATTGTTTAAAAAGATATATATTATTTAACTATCTATCTTCTTTATGTTGAGTTTGATGAGTATTATCTTAAATTTCTTAGCTTTAATTCATGAATTGTATTATAATTAATATGAAATAAAAACAATAAGAAACTCCTATACAACATAAATGGGAAGGCATGCAAGAAAATATTTTTTTCAAAGAAAATTAATTTAAAAAAAAAATGGAAATCGCCATGTTAGAGACAGCAAGCGACAGGCTGGTGGATGGAGAAATTGGTGCATTTTCATATGATGACAATTATAAGCTGAGACTTTTAAGTGTCAACTGTCAGGCACTCGCCTCAAGGTGAAGGAAGTCTGGATGTGTGATTTAAACATTTGAATAAATAAATGGCCCGCAAATCTAGTAGTTTTACTCATTTCATGACACGTTTACACGTCGGCAGCCGTCAAGTCGGCTCAAACGTCACAGTACATGCATCACTATTTGTCTTTTTCTGGTCGACACTTACATTATAAAATTACGTGAAAAAAAAAAAAATATATATATATATATATATATATAAAATGTATTCACACCCTTTTATTCATTTTTTAGTAATGCTAGTCTTATTCATTCTTTTTATTCACTTTTTTTACTCATCTTTATTAAAAAAGTGAAAAAATGGATAAAACTAATATTTTAACAAAGATGAATGAGAGAAGTGAGTAAACAGAATGAGTAAAGCTAACATTACTCTTGTTAAACACTGGCTATTAGAAGGGACATCATCATTCTCTACGACGTAGGGAGCCTTTAGTTGCCATGCAACATATGACGACCCGACTGACATCATGACACTGCAAACAAACACTTGCAAAGAAAAAAAAAATATTTTTCACATTCAAGCATTCTTCAAAAAATATAAAATACGAAAACCCATTAAAGGGTTAAAAACTTAAAAATCTTGATTGGTATAATTTCAATCCATAGAAAACACATAACTTTTATCAACTACTAAATATGAAAAACTACAATCAATTTTCCAAAACTATAAAAGCCCAAACACATACTTAATCATCACTCTCAAAATGCAATGTCAATCAAACAAAACTTACCGTATCACATAAACCACAGTTTAAGAACTGAAACTGATAGAAAAAATGAAAGAAAAGATTAAAAGAAAGATTATTTACAGAGATGTTGTTTCCGTAGTGAAAGAAGCCTCCAAACAAACACTACAGTCATAGTTAAATGAATTGGCAGCAATACCAGAAGAGAAAGCAAACGTGGAAAGAAAAATGAAAAAAAAAAACTTAAATAAATAATAACCCAATTTTCAATCAAACAGGCCGAACGGTTGGTTCAACATTAATTGCCCGATTCACGAAACCTTATAATTTAATATTAACCGTAAATAAATAATAACCTAATTTTCAAGCAAACTTCCAACCATTGGTTCAACATTAATTGTCTAGTTCACAAAACATTACAATTTAATATTACTTATTTGGATTAAATGAGTATACATTGACATGTAATATTTGTATGAAATTACTATTCTTAATTTCTTAATTATTTATTATTTTAATTCTTAATTGAACATTAAATTAAATATTATCACAAATATTTTATAATCTATTATTTTAGTTAATCTTAGGATACTATTTATATTATATAATTTTTAAATTATATCAGTATATTCTGTAATTTGTAACTAACATAATAAGGAGATTCAGTGGATTATTTTTTACCTATACAATGTATGTACCTCTACAGTAGATATCAACCAATTGAAACATCCAATTATTCAAACAAACATGATGTCAAAACCAATTTTATAAGTAACCTGCGCAATGCATGGGCCTTTCAACTAGTTATATATATAATTTTATACAAATCAAATCATGCATGTATTAAATGACACTTTCATCATGGATCCTTTATCATTAATTGTTGGTAATTAGATCAAGCTACCACAAGTGAGAGGGGAAAAATCTATAGGACTTAAGTAATCTTATTCCTAATGGTATTCACATCCTTTATAAATTATAACAATTATGTACTCTTAAAATTAACTTTCCTAAAAATATATGATTTTACAAGGAAACAATTAGGAAAACTAGTCACAATATCTCAACACTGTCTACCTTGATGAGTTTTCCATCAAAATGGTGAATTGATGAAGACAACATTCCCCTATCACAACATCCAAGTCAGAGAGTAACATGTTGAATTTTGTCACCAAGATTTGAGAACCACTCCTCCTATAACTAGAACCCGTTGTAATCTGTCTCTTTTGTATATACACCATTTTGAAAGAACTTATCTCCAAGTTCGTACCTTGAGGCTTTGATAACACTTGTAAGCGCCACCCCCACAACCAACACAACCCAACCCCACCCCCCCGGGAAAAAAAAGTCAATATTAATACACTCGTAAAAACATAAATCACACAAACCGTAAAGATACATGATATTGTACGTGGTTCAGCAGAACCACACACATTTGTGGATGAGAGAGAAATTCACTATAGTAATGTCAACACGCATATACAAGAGTACATGCACCATAAACCCGGTACCTAATTAATAGAGCGAAAACAAACTCCATTTCTTTACTCAACCCATGGTGTTCAATCAACCCTTTGCATCACATACCTT